CAGGCCAATGCTTCAAAGATGTTTTCATTGCAAAGTTTGAGAAGGCTGCATGGGACTTCATCAATGCCAGAACTTTTTTTAGATCCTATTAATAAGACTACTTCACGAACCTCGGAGGCAGAAGTAAGAGACAGTACAAAGCGACTCGCTTCGAGATCAGTGGGTAACACAGGGGCTACATTATCTTTAGCCAATGTACATATTTCCTGGTGAAAAGATTTACAGAAATAGTCTACTATTGTCTGAGGATTTTTGACTTCCACGTCATCGATCATGAGAATCAGGTTTGATTGGTTCTGATACTTTTCATCGCATAGTGTACGGACCACTGCCCAAGATTCTTTGCTTGTGTTTTTGGAATTTAGTATTTTGTTACCAAAAAAGGCCTTTTTTGTTTTGTTGACAAGTGCAGAGTGGCGATGTTTAGCTGTGCGATAAGCATTTTTCCCATCTACAGAACAGTGAGGCGACCTAGTATTCCAGTACAGGTCCAAGAGTGCTTCATGTGACTGCGATACTTCATGACTGACCCAAGAAGAGCTATGTTCATTCTTTGACTTTGAAGTAGACACAGGGAAACTAACATTAAAAATATACATGAACGAGTCGTAGAAGTGGTCAAATAAATCATTAGAGGTAATATTTCTTAAATTAGGTTCTGGCATCCAAGCTTCATTGTTAGATAAAATTTGGAAGGCTTCAAAAGTCGAGGCTGTAAATTTCCTCTTCACTGTTTTATTTACATTTCCCTCTCCAAAACGTTCACACAACAAGTGCACTGATAGCAAATGGTGGTCTGAAAAGAAAACAGGTTTGGCACTGGGGGCACGAAACAGATGTGCAACACACGAGTCAACAATAAAATAGTCAAGCTGAGTTACACAGTCAGGTGTTACTCTTGTAGGTCCTTTAAATATAATGTTCAGGTTATTACATTCCAACAAATCCTGAAGCAGCTGACTTTCCCAGGATCTCTCAAGATTATTTATATTTAAGTCAGCACAAATAAGAAGTGGGATATTAAACTTATCTCTGAGGGTAGATATCAACAAGTCGAAACGATCAATAAAATCAATCACATCAGCGCTGTTGGTAGTCCCAGGCCGATATATTACCACAACAATAATTTGGAATTTGTCTAGCTGCATTAGTCCCAAACAGAACTCAAATACACCTTCAGAACAAATGTCTTCGTCAATAGATAATTTCATAGGCTTAAAATTAAGCCTAGAGTCAGTTTTAAGCAACAGAGCAACTCCACCCCCTACTCGGTTAGGTCTAGAATATTCAGAAATAGTATTGAATCCATTTACTTTAAAACAATTCAGCTTAGATTCATTAAGCCACGTTTCAGCAACACACAATACTTCAGGGTTCTCATTATGTAACAAAACTTCAAGGTCTTCTATCTTGTTAAAAATAGACCTAATATTTAAAAAATCAAACCTATAACTAATATCACAGTTTTTTTTCGCCCCAGGACAATGTGAGTTGGGGCTTACGTCCCGTTTTTTGGACCATCAGTCGTCTTTGAAGTAGGCCTAGGCCTATCATGTTGTTCAAGGTTAGGCCTAGTACTGGTCCTGTGACTATTATTAGTTCTAGGAGTCAAAAATTTACATATGAGGATTCCCTCAGGCCAGAGATTGCTATCCAACAGCTTGTCAATAGAGTCAGAAGGTACACCTACCTTAAAAGATGAGTAGCCCTGGTACTTAGTGGGAAGTTGTTCACACTGGATTTGCGAGTGTTCAATAGGGCACAAGTTCCTTATGTACTCGACTAGGCTTTCAGGTTTCACACATGGGTCAAATCTTGACAAAAACATCCAGGATTTCCTCTGTGCCACAACAAGAGATCCAGTTTGTTTGGCTTTGCCAATTATAGCTCGGTTTCGTTGCACTTTAGGTTGAGGACGTACTGAATTTGACTTATCTCTGTCACCGCGACTATTTACATTAATCCTTTTCTTCCTAGTCACTTGATTCCAATTGCCATCAGCACCAGGAGACATACATGAATGAGGAGATACTATAGCACTGGTAGTGATATTACTGATATTGGAAGTGTTTTTACCGCGTTTCAGCACCTCACTATAACATTCACTTCTAGAGGGGTTAGGAATATTAGCGTCAGCGTCATCGTCATCGCCACGGCCATCTTGATGAGGCGTGACGTCATCGTCAGTGCTGCCAGTCTTACAGCAATTAAAACTAAGTTCATCATCTCCATGCAGTGGAGAGTACGTCACAGATTTTTTTTCATTACTTCCAACTACTTGAGTCAAAGTAGAGTCAGAATCAGCATTATGTACTACGTCATTGATATAAACTTCCGGTGGGCTCACCACATTGCTTTTTAACCTACAAACGTCACTGGAAATATTATCTAGCTTTGCTTTAATCAAACAATTGTCAGTTACTATATCATTCACTAATTTAAATAGCTTTCCAACATTCTGAAGTAGGTTACAGTTGTCATCAAAGCTCAGAGCATAATCCTTAAGCCTAGCTAACCTGACTTCGCAGCCTGCACAAAACCATTTGACTGAGTCTCCCAGCTCTTTTATAGATTGGTATTTATCACTTTCAAACGAAACACAATCGGTATGGAACGATTTACAACAAAATCCGTCACACGTAACTCCAGGATTTCCTTTATTCACGGTTTTTTCACAGACGCCACAGGGATAACGAACTGTACGACCCGTCATCTTGACCGGAAACTTAATTGTAAACAAACCACTGAGCCAATCTTTCTGAAATTTGTATGGCTTATTGGTAGATTTATTGTTAACAGTTCCATGCATTTTAAAATTTTTACTCACGATAGTTTTTATGCTGATGTTTATTTTTAAAACGTATGCTAACATCGTTAATAAGACGCTAAAAATTTCGTTCAAAATATCATCGTGTTTGTCGTGACACAAGAAATAACACCAATATGACAGATTAATAATGCGAACAAAGGTGTTTTTAAACAGATATATATTTGTAAACAAAAATTTCTCCCGCAACTGGCAGGCCGATTGGCTCAGTGGTTTGTTTACAATTAAATTTTATACTTCAGTTTTAGTGCAGAGTTTCTTAAAACCCGGTACTTTTTAGGATCTTTCAACAATATAAATTTTTCTGGTAAACGGATTTTTTTTATTGCTACCACGTAAAATGTATTTAAACCAGCTTATATTTAATTTTTATTTCAACAAAATTGGATTATTCATCTCTGAGATATTTAGGCTCAAACTCAAGTGCACATATTTATTTCCCCGACAAGTAGGCTAGCGCCGCCATCTTTGTCCGTTTCGCCGGCTAGTAAAACTGCCACGCTCCTGCGCTCCGAGTAGCGGTTCTATTTTGTTATGTGTTCGCTGCACTGGCACAATTAGCGGCAAGCAAAACAACACCTCACCGCAGAGGCTAACCTTGCATTAGAACAATCCTATACTCTAATACGAGCAATGTTTGCTTGTATGTATGTATGTATGTATGTATGCTTGCTTGCTTGCTTCCACAAATATCTCGAAAACGGCTCCGACAATTTTTTCAAATGTTGTAAATAGTTTATTCCTGGCCTAAAAATGAGTTTACTGCAGTTAGAAGTGCCAACAAAAATCTAATTACATAGAAAAATGAAACTGAAAGTCACATTTTTTTAACATAAGTCTTATGGGTTGCTAAGTAACCATCTTGGCTGAATTAAATAACAAGGAAAAAGTAAACAAAAGACTTGTAAGTTGTCTGTCCACAGTAAACTAGATAATTAAAAATACAGTACAAATGGAAAAACATCAGTTATTACTATTGAGCAAAGATTATACAAAGATTACTCGATACATTGTAGTCAAGGGTAGCAGTGTGGAGTGTGGGATCTGTTTATGACCATTAGATTACGGTATCTGCGATCCTTAAATGCTATGGGAACTGGGAAGGGAAGGAAACAGGTCCGCGACGTAGGATGTGGTGAAGGAAGTAGTCAAGGTGAGCAGTCCGGAGTGTGGGAACTGTTTATGATGATTAGATTAAGGTATCTGCAATCCAAAAATGCTATGGGAAGGGAGGAAAACAGGTCCGCGACGCAGGAAGTGGTGATGGAAATAGTAAAGGCGAGCAGTCCGGAGTGTGGGAACTGTTTATGACGATTACATTAAGGTATCTGCAATCCTAAAATGCTGTGGGAAGGGAGGAAAACCGGTCCGAGATGTAGGATGTGGTGAAGGAAGTAGTCAAGGTGAGCAGTCCGGAGTGTGGGAACTGTTTATGATGATTAGATTAAGGTATCTGCAATCCAAAAATGCTATGGGAAGAGAGCAAAACAGGTCCGCGACGCAGGAAGTGGTGATGGAAATAGTAAAGGCGAGCAGTCTGGAGTGTGGGATCTGTTTATGACGATTAGATTAAGGTATAGGCCTACAATCCTAAAATGCCCATGGGAAGGGGAGGGGGAAACAGGTCCGCGTCGTTGGAAGTGATGAAGGAGGTAGTAAAGGCATGCAGTCCGGAGTGTGGGAACTGTTTATGACGATTAGATTAAGGTGTCTGCAATCTTAAAATGCCGTGGGAAGGGAGGGAAACAGGTCTGAGATGTAGGAAGTGGTGAAGGAAGTAGTCAAGGTGAGCAGTCCGGAGTGTGGAAACTGTTTATGATGATTATCTGCAATCCTTAAATGCTATTAGAAGGGATGGAAACAGGTCCACGACACAGGAAATGGTGAAAGAATTAGTAGAGGCTAGCAGTGCGGAGTGTGGGGAATGGATTCATGTATCTGCAATACTAAGACTGCTTTCAGAGTAAACTAATGACTTTCCCCGAGCTAAGCTCGGTCCCCAGGTATTAGTTTGTAAACGGCGCTTTGACGAGTATACTGCTCTTGCACAGTGAACGTGTTAACTAGGACATATGATGGGTCCATTATTTAATCTTAAACACCAACCAAATTTTTCTGTTGTGCCACCTGAGGCATGCAACTCCTATTATTAATAGTGAAAATTGATCCCTACCTTGGTTATCTAAATCTTCTTGAACCTTGGTGATCCGTGTCAAATACTCTTCTTTGATCTCCTGTATCCTTGCGTCTGCTCTCATTTGTTCTTCGATGCTACTCTAAAATAAATATTAACTATTATTAGGCTATAAAACTTAAAAGTAAGTTTTACCATAGATAAATCATACTCCCTTAGTAGATTTGTCATCCTTATGGAACAGCTGAAGCCAATTTTATTGTTTGTTATGTACGTCCAACTGTAGAGGTTATGTTTTGTTTACAATTTGTTTCTTGTTATTTCAGTCATTTAAAACCTCATTTAATCATATAAAACGATTTAATCATAAAGAATAACTGGTCCCTTAGTTATATAACCAAATAGTAAAGCACAAATCATTAAAATAACCCTAAAATAATATAAGCAAAATGTTGTCTACCCCAGCGACGTACATGAACTGGACATGAAAAACAAGCTTCAAAATTTACAATGGGATGAGGAGTCTACTTGTGTTGCTTAGTCTATGGTTTTACTAAGAATTACTACTAGATGTAATTGTATTTATAGATACAGGGTGATTGGTACTCAGTGTGATGATGCATATAAAAGGTTCCAAGTCTAAAAATTAGCTTCCCAAACAATTATTTTATGTTTTTCAAAAATAGCTATGTTTTTAAACTTTAATACAACAATTTCTCAATTATCTGTATATGGATTTGAGTAGATAATGTCATTTGACTACTCACTAAAAAACCCCCTCTACTCTGTTGGACACAGACCTGGGATTGTTTGTCACATTACCACATTACTTCAGGTCAGGTCAACGAACGTGTGACCTAAGCCCTCAGGGCTCGCGCCGTTTCTGGAATTCAATTTCTTTATGACCTAGACTGCATCTCGGTCAAGCTCTAGCTTCTTTGTGCAGAGAATATCCTGGACGAAATGTGACATACAGGTCCAACTGTCCTCACCCTCCGTCATCATCGGAATGACCGTGTCCACCAACAACTGCCCTACATGTTGTTCAGCCTCCAGGCGGGAACCTTCCCAACGCTGGCAGCGGAAGAAGGTGTGCTCCGCGTCGTCGGGAGTGCCTGGGCAGTAGATGCAATCGGGTGACACGGCTTTGCCCATCCTGAACAGGTACGACCTAAAATACCCGTGACCTGTCAGAAACTGGGTAAGGTAATAGTCCACCTCACCATACCGTCGGTCAACCCATGGTTGGACTTGCTGAATCAGTCTCCTGGTCCAGTGTCCCCGCGACTCCCGTTCCCAGCTCTCCTGCCAGAGCTGTTAGGTGCGGTTGCGCTCCTCCATTTTTGCATGGTCCTCTCCACGCCGCTGATAAATCGCTTTCCTCTCTGCCGCCAAAAGTTTGACGGGGATTACTCCAGCAACCACCAAGATGGCAGGTTCAGACACTGTTCGGTAGGCGGATGCTACCCTGAGTGCTGCCTGACGCTGCACTCTGGCAAGCCGCATCCTATACACCTCCTTATTGAGCGCGTCTGCCCACAACTCCGCACCATACAGGAGCACAGACTGAACTGTAGACATCAACAGCCTTCTGCGACTGGAACGAGGACCTCCGACATTGGCCATTAACCGGCTAAGAGAAGAGATCACCTTAGCGACCTTGTCCGCCGTTCGGAATATCTGGTCCCGCCAGCTAAGCTTAGAGTCCCACCATGACACCAAGATACTTGGCGGCACGAACGGACTGGACTTCGACGTCCCCCACCCTCAACGGCACAATGGTGTCAATCCGCTTTTTGGTCAGAATCACGATCTCAGTTTTGTTCAGCACGAGTGAGAGACCGTGATCTGCCATCCATGCGTTTATAGTTCGCATGACTCGGTTTAATTTTAGCTGGGCCAGCTCAACACTACGAGCAGCTATTAAAGCTGCAATGTCATCTGCGTACCCAACTAAAACGGTTTCTTCAGGCATTTCAGACCTAAGGAGGCTGTCGTAGGCAATGTTCCAGAGGTCCGGGCCGAGTATGGAACCTTGGGCAGCACCAGAAGTGACACTCATCGTCCGCAGGCCTTCTGTAGTATCATACATGAGGAGGCGGAACCGGAGGTAATCCTCTATAATGCGCATGAGGTATGCCGGGATGTGGAAGTTGTTCTCCAGAGCGTCCAGCATATCGCACCATCTTGCAGAATTAAATGCGTTTCGCACATCGAGTGTAACGAGCAGCACAACCCTACGAGAGTAGTGATTAAAATCCTCAGCTCTCATCACGGCTTGCTTCACATCCTCAATAGCGTCGACCGTTGATCGCCCCTTCCTGAAGCCGTATTGGCGAGGGCTCAGGTCCCCCGCAGCAACCACGGCTGAATTCAGTCAGGAACGGATCAACTTCTCTAGGACTTTCCCAGCCGTATCAAACATGCAAAGGGGTCTGTAAGAGGACGGCAATTCTGGGTCTCCTTTCCCCTTCCCTACCAGCACAAGCCTAGCTTTTTTCCAGCACAACGGAAATACCCTCTCTGCCAGGCAGGCGTTGTACATGCTCAGAAGAATCAGGGGATTGATCGAAAAAACCTTCTTAAGGGCCTCGCCAGATACCCCATCAGGTCCAGGAGCCTTGTTGTTTTTTTAGGGATAAAACGGCAGTCTCTAGCTCCTCATGAGTGAAGAGTGGGACATCGTCCATCATCTCAAACTCACGCAGTGGGCGCAGAATATGATCCGGAAAAAGGGATTTGACAACCCTCTCCATAGCGGCCCCCTCCATGACGGAAGGTGGAGAGCGAGTGGTGAGTTTCCCACGGGTCGGAATCGACATCATCCCTTAGTGTTTTCCAGCAATTGTGTTTGCTCCGGTTGATGGCCCGGCGGAGAGACTTCCTCGCCACCTTATAGCTCTCCAGCTTACGGCGTCTATCCATGGGTGCCCTGGCCCTGGTAGCGAGTCGTCTAGCTCTCAAAGCAGCTCGGCGCAAATCTGCGATCTCTGCAGTCCACCAGTATACAGGTCTCCTATCGCAACGGAGTCTCTTACGGGGCATTGACTCATCACAAGCCGAGGCAATCAGCCCCATTATCGATGTAACTATAGCCTCTGCATGAGCCATGCCAGGTGCGGCAGGCACCGCTGGCACTCCCCGCAGGATGGCCTCGGTGAATTTAGCCACGTCCAGTTTTTTGGTGTTCCACCGAACGGGCACTTCCCGAGATGCAGCAACTTGTCTCGGGAGGCGATCTAAGACATCGAAAATAATGTATTGATGGTCGCTGGCCGTATAATCCTCCAAGACTCTCCAGGCTGTGATCCTTGGCAGAAGAGACTCAGATGCGAGGGTTATGTCTGGGATCGTTCCCCTCATCCCGGGTGGCCGGAACGTTGGCGTGTTGCCCTCGTTGATTACAACGAGTCCGGCCCTGGCAGCAAAGTCCAGGATGTACTTCCCCCGGGAATTAGTGAGGGTCAGTCCCCACTCGACGGCCCTAGCATTGAAATCACCAGCCACGACTACATGCCCTGTGGTGTCGTGCACGCTCTCTTCCAAGCGGTCTATCTTCTCGCGGAAGTCATGGATAGCCTCGTTAGAGGTGAGGTAGACACTGGTTTAAATTTTTTTCAAACATCTTAACTTTTATCTTTGATTCTATTTACAATGGAGTTTTTACAACTTATCCCCCGTCATTTTCTATTATTCTTATTCAAAATTTAATGTAGAACACGAAAATGACATTATCTACTCAAATCCATTTACAGGCAACTGAGAAATAGCTGTATTAAGTTTAAAAACATAGTTATTTTTGAAAAACATAAAATAATTCTTTGGGAAGCTAATTTTTAGACTTGGAACCTTTTATGCATCATCACACTGCATTTACTTTGTACTTACACAAAAAAATTTTTGTCACACTGAGTACCAATCACCCTGTATATTTGACAAAAGTTTTTATGTAAAACAGAACTATGATCTGATGTACGCTGGGTGATAAAGAAGTTATTTGAGTTATTTATTTATGTACTAGATACTTTCTGCTCTGAGCCAATATATTTAAAATATTTAATGGATTAGGTAGGCCTATTGTAAACTGCAAAAAACTGGAATTAACTCAGATTTTTATGACCAATTTATTTGCTTTTTTCCTTTGAAGTGAATCAGATCAGGCAATATAGCCTAGTCCACACATGGAGACTGAGTCGGCCGACTGTCTGCCGACTGTGCGCGGACAGTCGGCAGACAATCTGTCAACATAGTTTCGGATACAAGTTTCCGATATGTTTTGTGTCCACGGTCCACACTAGCCAGCCAGTGTTTCCATGTTTGTTGGTATGGTGATCAAGGAGGACGTAGGCCTAATTAAATCCTGTGCGGGCTTCATTTTTCTGAACCATGGGCCTAATGAATCTAGGAAGAGAATGATCGACCCAACATTTTCTCGAGCAAGGTTCGTACTATGGTCACAATCTTTTATCAGACCTTCAGATTAGGTGGAGGATTTAGGAACTTCACAAGGTTGACTTCTAAAGATTTTGAAATTTTGCTGGGCTTTGTTGGTCTTAAGATTTCAAACTTGAATAGATGAACAATTCAATAAAATGTCATATAAAGATATAAATCATTGAAAACTAATTCCAAAACTTTCAAGAAACTCAATCCAGCTATTTTGTTACCGCCCAAATATCTTAATATTTCCACTTTGCAGTCTAACTTAATGGGCTGAATGTTAAACATCTTCAGCTTGTCCAGTCTCCTGTCTCCAGACACGTCCACACCTGCAGACTTGAGACAAAAGTTTTGTCTCTTGTCTCCGTGTTTCCCATTCGAACGGGAAACAGAAAACACTGTATTTTGTCTCCAGAAACACCGAAATTTGTCTGCCGATAGTCGGCCGACTTACTGGAGACAAAATAGCAACACTCCGGAGACAGTCGGCAGACAATGTTTCCACAGACAAATCGCCATGTGTGGACGAGGCTTATGGAGGGTTGGAGTTTGTACATTTGGAAACTGTATTGGCTAAAAGTTATAGGTCTAGTTGCAATATTAAGGTAGCTGAATTGAAATAAGGAGACGTAACAGCTTACTAGTTGACATTGTCGTGACTAGTATTTAAGTATTAGCATAAGTTACCGTACTTACATTTTGGAACATGGACAGGGTTAACTCAGTCTGTTTTAGTTTACATTTCAAGTTTTCATTTTCCTCTGTAAATAAATTAACATTAAGTTCTAAATTGAACGCATAACTTTAAAAATTAAATTAACTATAAATATTTCACCAAAGAAGATTGACTTTTAGGCTACATTTTATAGTTAATAATCTGTTTACAATGATATGACATTGGTGGTAGGCCCTAATTCAAAACCTCTGAAATCTTGCTAGCCTACAATGCTACAAGGAGTTCGTAAAGCCTCCCAAAGTACACCTATAAAGTTTTGGAAACATGAATTGTTTTCAGCTCTGTGGTATTAAACTGACAAAATTAAACTGGTACAGCGATTAAACAAAAAGTACCTTTTAGGTTATGTTTCCAAGAAAATCTGAATTCATTTCATGATTAATTATTAGGCTACCCGCTTAACGTAAAACCAAGCCAAATAACCATTGATGGGATAGTAAATAGGACCGACTTATTAACACGTTCACTGATGAAAATCTTTATACAGGCGCTCCTAAACTGCGACGAGGCCCGGATGGAGCCCCGGCACTCTAACTGAATCTGAGATCGCTATTGGCATTGAAATATCTCAGTAAGACGAATCACAAAAGAGCAGTGGTGAATGTTCTGCGTTACCCCGAAAGTGAACGTAGTTCACTGAAACACCCAAAGGTAGCAGCACTGCCTGGATCAATAACCAGAGTCTTTGTAATATGGCCCGAATAGAGAAAATTTCCGAAAACGGGACAAAATCATTGCCCGACGGGATTTTACGGGAATGTTTAGTACCAACCTACACCAAAATAAAGCTCGCATTCTATGCTACAGGCTGGCAACAATTACAACGTTCCCCGGCAACGACTGAGCTCACATTGAAGCAAAGATGTTGGCATTGGTGAAGGACATGATTTCCCGCCCCGCACCAGTGGCGCCGGGCGAGAATTCCCACCCCTCGTACTGAACATGTTAACTTAGCCAACCATAAAACATGACCTACTCAGCTCAAAGGTAGTTGCTTGGATAAATTTGCTTAACATAGTGTTTTAAAATAATGTACTTAAGATAGACCCTATTACAGGTTTATCAAATAAATACAGTAAGCCTTAATTGTTAGCTTGGGCCTACCTTTTACATCAATCAACTTTTGAATGATATCCTGCTGATGTAGAAGAAAACCCTGACATCTAGCCTTTTTTGATTCAGCACTTCTTTCTGCATCCTTAGCCATTCTTAATTCCTCTCGTAACAATCCAATATGTTCTGTTAGGTCATTGTTGGCGTTTTTTATTTCTTCACACTCCTGAAATAATGTCAAGTTAAGTAAACAGCGTAAATTTAGGCGAGATTAATTATTTTAAAACATTAAATTAATAAATAAAATGACCAAAGGTAGGCCTACTGCCATAGAAAAGCTGTGACTGAGGTAGACTAATTGTTTAAACAACACTTAGCTAATTAGCCCATCTGCTTTGGAAAGTTGAATCTAAAACTACCCTAACCTAGTAAGTAAGTTACATGTTTTCCTCTCATTTACCAGGTACAACCAAAGTGTCTTGTTCCATAACATAAGTTACCAGTTGTTGTCACTATAATATTAGCATCTGTTATTTAGTTAGCAATAAAAGTTTAAAATAACCTTTCACCTTAAAAAGGGTGTTAACTTCTTTTAGTATAGTTTCGGTGTTCATGGAACTTCTTGAAATATTTTAGATCTGAAGCTGGAGAAACTTTAAGTATGTATAACTATAACTAAACTGCTAACAAAGACGTATGTAGAGAGAGACAAAAACACCTTTTATAAAAAAACGCAAAATTTAACACAAACTCGAATTAGTTGAGTTTTCAGTAAGTAGGCCTAATTGTTTTCACTATTCATTCGATTCGATTTGTTTTGAAATTTGAGGTAACATAACAATGTAGTGTGTATTCATTGGTAGTACCAGCAGTTGAAGTCGAAGATAAGAAGAAGCTATAAGAAGACAAAGAAGGTGATTTAAAACATAATAAAGCAGCGAATTGCAAGCAATAGAACAGTAGATTTTATGCACTATCTATGATTTTTTTCTACTTTATAAAATGGTACAACCATTAAAGATGGCTACGGTATTACAATATTACCACATACTAACCAACACAAGTAAATCATCCCATTGTAAATTTTGAAGCTCATTTTTTGGTGTCGAGTTTATGTCCGGTGACACTGATCGCTAGTGTCGACTAAATTTTGTTTATATTATTTTAGAGTTAAGTTCAAGATTTGTGGTTTAGTGTTTGGTTATATAATAAGAAGACGAGTTATTGTTTATGACTAGATCGTATCTGGTTAAACGAGGTTTAAATGACTTAAATAATAAGAAACAAATTGTAAACAAAACATGACCTCTACAGTGCACCGGCTATAACAATAAAATTGGTTTTGCTGTTCCATAAGGATGGAAAAGCTACCAAGGGAGTATATGTTTGATCCGTGGTAACATTAAACATTTACATTTACGAATTGTTTCTTGTTTTTTTCATTAATTTAAAACCTCGTTTAACGATAGTCCTCGTAAACCGATCTAGTCATAAAAAATAACTCGTCCCCTAGTTATACAGTATAACCAACCAAACACAAAAGCACAAACCATGAAATTAACCCTAAAGATATTAAACAAAATTTCGTTGACACTAGTGATCAGTGTCGCCGGACATGAACTAGACACGAAAAACGAACTTTAAAATTTACAATGGGATGATAAGTCTACTTGTGTTAGTTAGTCTAGGGTACAATTCAGCAAGAATGTAGGAGTTAACAATTAAATTATAAAATTATTGTGTATCCCTTTCAATTTGTTAAAAAAATTACAGTGAGTCGGGTTTCGTTTGTAGACACCTAGTCAGCTGTTTATCGTATTGTTGTCTGTCTTTCTAGCTCTCTTTCAACCACCACGCTGGTTGATAGGTGAGCACACTTTCGTCTAAAAACGCCGTTCGGTTTCACGACTATCGTTCGTTACTGTATCGAATCACGACATCATTTATACTATCGATTCGATTGTAGTTGTCGTTTGTCACAGAGCTGCCAGAGTCAGGGGCTATTGTGATAGGAGAGTTCACCACTCGCAAAGCTTACCGTACTAGCTACGTCATGGCTATACTACCCCAGACAGCACACTTTCTCCTCAGGACATCCCACGGATATTGCGACAGGATATGCAAGATATCCCATAGTGGTCCTATGGTCAACTTGGGATATCACAGGATATCCACAGGAATGCCTAATGTCCCCGCCCGGGGATGTCCTACGGATAAGCTCACACGCATATCCGTGGGACATCCGAGGTCATCCCAGGGCAGTCCTCAGGACATTCTCAGGACATATGGGACTACTATGGGATGTCCCTGGGATAAAGTGTGGTCTGGGCCTGAACATAAAAAACACAAAATAATATAGATTTAGTATGAAAAGCTTAATTATAAGTTTAGTAAATTGATTAAATAGTTAATAAACACAAATTTTGAAGAAAAAAACGAGAAAAAAGTTTTTGGCCCAGACGGGTTTCGAACCTGGTACCTTCGCCTTATAAGCCTCTTACCTTACCTCCTGAGCTATCTGCGCTTGTTGATTATGGGTGTTTTCAAGTGGTTAAAGAGTAGCCGATAGTTGCAATGGTCGCAATACTTAAAATATTTTTGATACTACAGTATAGGCTATATATGATTCTGTTAATCTGTTTAGACCTCAAGTAGTTGAATTGTTTTTCTGGTAGTTGGAGAGGATACTGGTATTTGAATATAGATTATTTAATCACCATTAGATTAGCACTGTAATAATTGATTGTTATATGATTAAAATTAGTTTTTTGTTGTTTTTGTTGTTTTATTAATTTAAAGCTAGAATTAAATTCACATTTCACACAACTAGAACTGATAGAACTCAAGTTTTCCTGAACTCAGTGGTAGTAATATGTCAGTAAAGTAAAGTCAACCCTTGCTAGCCATAGTATTAACAAGACATATTTTCAATCTGGGAAACCTTAAACTTTTAAAATAAATTATAAAACCTCAACATCTTAATGCGTGGGAATGTTATTTTTAGAAAAAAAACAGACCAAAATTATTTGTTCAATAATGAAGACGGCCCAATTATAAATTCGGAATTACTGAAAATAATTACATCAAGAACAACACTGTAACATATCCAAAATTCAAAAGATTAATTTTTCTAATATTATTTTTTATTTTTCCAATATCCTTTAAATCATCTGTTTTAACTTTGTTTAAAATTAATTTATTAAGTAAATATTTACTCTTTGTACTAGTGTAAACACAGCCTGAAGATGGAAACCAAGTTTCTGAAAGCACTAGTGAAAAAAACAAATTATTATATATTGGCCTTGTTGAACATTTAAATTTAGATATACTGTACATTTCATCAGTGATAGTATTTTTTTTTTTTTCAGTTTGTTACCGGGACATTACGGGACATTACAGGATATCCAGTGGATTTTGTACATGTCCCGGGATGTCATGGGACATTCTGGGATATCCTATGGCATTCGTACATATCCCGGGACTTTACAGGATATCCTGAGGTTAACTTACAAATCCCGGGACATTACGGTATATTGTAGGATATCCTGTGGATTTCGTACTCGTCCCGGGATTTTGCGGGATATCCTGAGGATAGCGCACATATCCCGAGACATTCTCAGGACATTCTTTACATATTATTTTAGAGGACTACTATGGGATGTCCCTGGGATAAAGTGTGCTGTCTGGGACATACCTACTATCACCATCGTATCACTTTATATCGATAACGGTTACATAGGAATCCACTTGGAATCTGATCGAAAGATCAAACTGCGACCACCTACCACCGTAGCCAGAGTTATGAATGGAAAAAGGAAATCCACCACACACTGTCCGTGTCAGCTGTTGGAAATTACTGATGTGGATGATATAATCTAATCCATTGATATTTGAGACAGGATGACTGTTTGAGTTGAGTACCATAACTAGCTGTTCACCCGTTCTACGGTCGGGGATCTTGTAGTCAGTTGAAACCCTCTTACTCAGAACAGCAGTTGGTTTGGTTTGCACATATTTAGTGTGCATTTTTCAAAAATTCAGATCCTCCTTCCTGCTTACCTTAAATAGGCTACTAATATAACTGGATGTTCTCACTAAAATATTAGGTCTAATGGGTAATTGATGTTCTCTGTTCTCATATACATTAATATTTTGATAGAAATAATTTTTGAGACTCAAAAATAATAATTTTAAATCCTTAAACTTTGTTCAGTAAAAATGTTTCCTCTAGCCTATGTTGATTCAACAAAACTGTTGTAAGCATAATCATAATATACCTGATAAATAGTTGAATTATTAGCCTACTCCAGAGAGCCACTGGTTTATTTTAAACCTTGCAAAAATTATTACTCCTTACAAATTGTACTTTAATCTTTGCCTAGCTTTGCCATTTGTTTCATATTTTGTCATATAGGTTTCCATTTACTTAACATCAGAATGCATATTGTACTCTTAGACTTAAAAACAGTTTCTTCTGAATCCATGGCTATATCTATCTTCACAATACACCAAATTCGTCGAACTCGAACAAGAACAAGATGGATGCGCACAAAGACAATAGACAATACCGACAATAAACTAATAAAGACATACGTACATTACTGCCAATACCGGTAACGAAACGAATTAAAGTTAGTCGACTATCGATTACTAAGTTGTCTCGAAGAAACCGCTATCGATAGAGCGAACCGATATCATGATTTTATTGTGTTTAAACCATTTTATTATTTACTACACTTTATCAGTGGCAAACAGTATAGAGTTCATATATATATATATTATATATATTTTAAATTTAATTACGCAATAATGTAGTATTAGTGCTTGAAGAAGCAGAGTTTATACATAGAGGGTGTCCCGTAAGTAAACAGCCAAACTCTGGGAAAATTTTCTATGGGTCAAAATAAAGAGAACACCAAGAATATCATTTTTTCCTAAATCGTTTCGTTAACCAGATATCCAAAATATTGTTTTTTACATTAACATTTTTATCTTTTAAGTTTTTCATCCGATCATTATGAAACTTAATATGTATGATAAGGTAGATGAGACCCATGTAAACAAAAAATTCATCTTGATTCATCTTAAGATTTCAAAATGGCAGCAATTTTAATTATTTGAACTTAAATTACAAAAAAATGGCTGCTTTTATGAACAATTTGTCAAGAACACTTTTATTTTGCATTTTTAACTACTTATCAAAATATATGAAGCTCAAAAAGCTTCAAAAAATATATGAAGCTATTTCTTATTCGATCAACTGAATAACCATGAAAACTAGAACATACCACGAATAACCATGATTTAGAACGAATTAAACTAATCCAGTGTTTATTTTTTTACACTCTTGTATAAAAAACATATTTCTTTGCTCTATGCGCGCTGATAAAGTAAAATATTTCAAATGCACAAAAGGTTGATTACCGAGTAGTCCAGAGGGTTTTAGTTTTATAAACTCTTTGTCGCTGCTTTACAGAGTAATGGGTCATTTGAAATGGAAACTTGTGCGTTTGAATATTTATGAAAACGAAATTTATATCCACTTTGTTAGCTACACTTCACTTCCACGGCTTAATTTTTTTTTAATCCTTCCTGATTCTGTTCGTTTCATTGTGTGGATGTTTTATTTATGTTGCGATTTTTCACTACGAATATAGATTTTTCTCCACAGTGTAGCCTAACAAAATGGATTTACTCAAATAATAAGACGTCAAAATTTACTTTTTGGTGTATTTGTCACATTTAGGTCTCTCCGAACTGGTAAGACGTGGTGCCGCTATACGTCGTATACTAACAATATTTTGAGTTAAATGAAATTCGTAAATATATATAACCAATGATGTGGAGCATAGTTACA